GAACAGATGCTGAGTAATAAAAACAGTCGTGCCTGCTGACCGTTTGCTTGTTTGCTCTCCTATGCATTCCCAATGGTTCCTCTCTTCTGAATGGATCAAGACAAAAGCATTTTCCAGGCTTTTTTTTTAAAAAAATCACTTCTGGTTAAGTTTGGGCAATGAGAGACATGGTATAAAACTGGAGGGAAAAGGGGGAGGAGAGCTAGGGAACTTCCTTTCTCTTACTGCTTCAGGTGTCATTTCCAACAATTTGAGTCTTCTGTGATCCCAGCCCCCATAGATAGTCTCAGTCCCACCCTCCACCCCCCACCTCCTATGGACAGCGACTGTCATGGTTCTAGCTTCTGAACGATCAATTCACTTTCTTGGATCTTTTACCTCCAGCTTCTTATACTCCTTGTAGATGAAACAGTGAGTAAGTCCAGAAGCAGAGAACCAACATAATATACCACAGCATCACCTCAGGCTACTCAGGTTTCTGTAATACATTCTGAAAGCATCTCCTTTCGCCTCCACACCAACACCCAAGGACATGTATAAGTAAAAGGCTGGTAGATAAATCTACAGCCTCTTCAGTTGCAGCTGTTCTGGGATTAAAATTGAATCTCCATCAACTCCCTCCTCCATTAGCAATAATGTCCCCTCTTTTTTCATTAGATCTTCTGTTAGTCTTGGTGGTTGACCGTGGGGTAACCCAGAACTTGATTACTGTGCCCCTTTCATGCCACAATTTAGCACTTGTCAATGTAGCATCAATACAGGGAAAAGGAGTATCAAGAGTTGCTTATGTATATGCCTGCATGCCAAATACAACTGCTGCCTTTGTATAAAAGTACTATATAGTAGCAGCTGAGCCTCTAATACCACAGGTCTGCAAGATTCCATGGCCCAATGGGAAGGACCACTTGCACCACAGCAGAGACATGCTGCATAACCCTTTCCTGCTTTTTGCACCAACTTGTGCTCAAGATCATATAGCTATTGAATTATCAATGTTTCTGACCTCAGTTTCATCTAAAAGATTAACAGAATTAGTGTATATGAACTGCATGTATGTTTTAGTGGGTTACTGTGAAGATTGAGTTAATGTATATGAAGCTTGCATATAATCTTTCAATGGTATGTTCTATTTTTGTGTTAACTTGTTTGCTAAGATCTATAAACAAAATCCCTTGTATCCCTACAAACAAGTATATATACTATCCTTAGAAAACAGAGGACTGTGTTCAGATCTTTTCAATATGGACTTCATCATATACTACTGTAATTAAGCATATTTCTTTGATTTGCTTCAACAGAAATTCAAAACCCCTTGTTATGTTGTATTTGATGAAAAGCCAAGCCTGGATATGTGATGAAGTTAGCATGTAGGTAAGTGACTTTGGACTAATGGGTAGAGGGGCCAATGGATAAATACTCTCTTCTACTCTGATGGACATTCTGAGATGCATTTTACATCACTCCTCAGGAAGTTCCTCATAGGATCAAGCCTCAGTTGCCTACAGAGGTGATTAACTCAGTAACTCACCACTGTATTGGCATGCCTCCTTCTCTTCTTAGTCCCCATTCTTGTTTAAGATCACAACCCAAACTACAGTAAGATTTCAGGTTCTGTCCTTTGTGGGAAGTTAAGCTAACAGTACCAGGACTAGCCAAGAAAAAAAAGGCTCAATGTGAAATTCTGGTCCAGGATCATTCTCTAGTTACCTCATTGCTGGCTGCTGACCTTTGGTATCTGAAGTGGAAGCAGACAAGAAACACTGGCTTATGTGGGAAGTAGTAGTATTTAAATGGCATGGTCAATAGTAAATATAAGGATCATGGGGCTATTTGGTTTTCAAAGCTGACTTCAGATACACTGAAAAAATTAAATGACACTCAGATTGGCCAACCACCACTGAAAAGACATACTGCAAAAGTTACTATGCATCCAAGACAGTGCTTAAAAGAACATTTTTACAATGGCTATTATTTGAAGGCCAACAGTATTAAAAATCAGAATCGGAATTTACACAATATAAAAACAGATGTGAAAAATATGGACATGGTCTTCAAGGCTGTGTGTGAAAAATGAAATGTTAAAATCTGGGACTGGGAACATTTGAGTATGAAAACTTGAGCTTAAATCCCAAGGTATCCTTAACCGTCATGGCCCTCTCCCTTGCTAAAGAATTCTGCCATTGGGCCGGGGATTTACCTCAGTGGTTTCGCCGCCTGCTGCGCAAGCGCAAGGACACGAGTTCAATCCCCGGTACCAAAAAAAAAAAAAAGAGTTCCGCCATTGCCTGGAAAATTCACAAAGTTCTCACCTGTAGCAAATGCTTCCCGAAGTGATGCTTGTCCTCCCTTATATATATCCCTAACTCTTCTTACTGACTAGATCTACAACTATAATCACATCAGACTATACTATCTATACCAGAAGAAAACAATTTACTCACCCAAAGAATTCTAAGATCTCAGCTAACATTATAACTAGAAAATACAAAAACAAGTGAAAGTGAACCTTCACAGTGTGGGCTAGGGACCCAAATAATTGATGTGATGGTACTCTCTAGTAAATAAAGATTTAAAGTCATTAGCAAGGAGTCTTGGAAGCAGTACTAAGATACTGCTGGGAAGACTCCTTGAAATTCAGTGTTGTAGGTTTTGTTCCTTGGGAAGCAGACTCTGAGATGGAGTTTAGTGAGCAGAAAAACTATCAGTGAGGGCTGTTTGAGTCAAACTCTGAAATACAAGAAATGGAATTGAGATTGGGTCAGGAGAAGATCTGAGAGGTATAAGTAGTCTCAACAAAAGCACCCTAGGAACTCTGAAGATGGTATGGCCTTTGAACAGCTAAAATGGGCTAAGATTAGGATTTTATAACCATGCACATGTCCAGGCACTGGATATAGGTTGCTCCCAATAGGTCATTCAGGGCTTAAAATGCTAGTATACAAGCAAAGACATCAATCATACTGGCATGAAAAGGCAGAATTTCTACTCCCCAATGGAAGGCAGGAAGAAACATCTGGAACTAGAAATCTCACGGTTCTTTCATGCTTCTGAAAACCATGACCTAGTGTGTAAAATATCTTATTGTAATGATCTGCCATCCAACCTCAGGGAAGGAGCCTAAGGCCATGGTGACATACTAATACAAAGGTGAGTTGATTCTGGAGCATGTGATGAAAGAGGGAAGGTGACAAATATCCATCATAGCCTCAAAACCAGTTAAGCAGTAGATTGTACTTTGGTTTCACTACTCCTTGTCTATTTTTGTTGAGATCACAACCTATCATAAACTAAAAGGCTGTGTTGAAATGGACTTAACAATAGGCCCAAACAGAACTCAGTGGTACAACTAGCCCACTGTAGCAGAATATTCTTTTGTTCATTTCACGCCCGCAGCTCACTTCTTCATTCTCACCATACATAGCCTTGGCAACTTGATACATACAGGTGTAACTTGATTCATTTTACTCAAGCCATATCAAATTTCTTGCTTTCAGGCCCCACCCCCAATCCTACTTTTCCTCTGCCACTATGTGGACACCTGCAGAAATTTGTTAATTTGATACATGCACAACTATTAATGAGGGAAAAGGAATTAACACCCATGGAGTAACCCTTGCCTCAGGGAGATGGGCATCCACAAATTCTCTTCTCCTTTGCAGGTTTTATGCCCCTGTAAACTCAGACAGGCAATAAGCCCAATAAGTTCTGCTTCTCGATTTCATTCTTCCTAATGATTCATTTTTCCTGGGATCATTTATCCAAATAAACTTGGCTTAGTTTTTTCTTTTGAAGAGAATTATTTCATGAGATTGAGTTATTGCCACTTCATCAATGAGTGTACATTTTGCCAAGGGTCACAACAGTGAATGCCAAGACATTTGGTGAATGTCTTTGATGCTTTATCCTAGGAGTCTTATTAAAAAGGCAGTTACTATAAACCCAGAACCTCAAGATCAAGTTCACAGGTGACTATTTTTGGAGGACTCATTAAAGACTGTCCAACATAAAGACTCCTATAAAGACAAGGCCCTCAGGGTCAGCAATAGGTTCACGCTGAATCCTCAGTTTAAAAGACTGAATCAATAGGTAATCTGAGCTTTTGGCCTACAGATTTCTGTTGATGTTCTGAAATAATGTCATTGTATTCCCAAGCATTTAGTAAAATGATCTCACTTTGCTTCACTCTGTTAGAATAATGTTCTGAACCATGACACAACTTGTCATTTTTCAGCTGAATATATCCATAGTTTGCAGAATTTCTATTTCACTATGTAACCTTCTTTTCTTCCCCACCCTCTTTCCAAAATCCTAAGATCTTTATTCTAACTGAAATACTTCAGTATCTTGTGTCATAAATAGATCTGGATTGTAGTTTCTTTGAAGACATGGAGCCTATCTTTCACCATTATATCCCCTACAGCATCTTGTGCATAGAGGATACTTAAATGTGGGTTGAATTAATTTACTCATGATCTTGGCAGGTATAATTGAAGTGTGGGCAATTCTGGTAGCTCAGCTTATCTGATGGTTATCTATTAGGATAAGCTAAATTTAAGCACCAATAACCTTTATTAAAGACACAAAGTTAGCATTTGTTTCTTACTAATTTTACTACATGTCCAAAGGTCACCAGGGGAGTTCTGGTCATCCAAATCAGTTAGAGATCAAGTGCTCCATCTCAACATATGCTTCCATGATCACCAATGCACAAGAAAATGAACATAACAAATCATATATTGGCTTTTCAAGTTCCACTCAAACGTGACATATGTCCATCTGCTTGGATTTCTTTCTGGCAAAGAAAGCCACAGAAGTAGATTTAAAACATAATCTAAACAAAGCTCTTGTTTAGAATTTTTGGGAGAAAAAAAATGTAGCATGAATTTGTAATCATTTTGCCTAAATTACCTTGGCTCCCTAGTTCACTGTTAGAGGAGTACCAACCTAAAAGCAGAAACTTTCACTGCACAAATACAGAATCAAAAACCAAGACAAAAGTATGCAGTTGCAAAATGGCCATTTATTGCCTACAGGGAAGGAAAGGGAGGGAGAAAAGAAGTACACAAGTGCAAGGAAACAAGCATATATTTAGCCCTATACATCATATGTGAGCAGTACCCAATCTTCAAAATGGATAAAAGTATTTTGTCATCTGACAGTAGTTAAGGTTCTTAAGCACCTCCCTTCTGAGCTGCCACAAGATATAAAAGGCAGAACTGCTTTGTTTAGTCAATGTTCACATTAATGAAAAGATACTACCACCCAACTGTCCTTTTACACACACATTTTGTACAGTGTCTATTGTGAAATACATCTCAGCTGAGCAGTTTGGTCAAGATTCAGACTCATCGATTGTTTAATAGAAAAATAAAGCAGCTGGTGATTTTTTCAGAGAGAATGTGTTCAATAAGAATAGAACCACTTTCTCCAGGGATGACAGACAATGCTAAATGTTTAGAACACTACAGAATCAGTCTACTAAACACTAAACACTAGTAAGCTACAATTACGTGGCATTTCATTAAATCATCTAAATTAAAAAAGAAAATGTTAGATTTCAAACTGTTTATTGGAACACAACAACAAATTGATTTAGTGTTTGGCTTTTTCTTCAGACAAAATCAAAGTAACCTAAAACAATCCATTTTGGAATAGCATTAACAGAAACTATCAAAAGTGTTCAGTTGAAAAATTACTAAATACTTTGCTCAATTTTAAAATCATGTGCTTTGCTTTCTGACCATTAGAATTAGTTAAAAAAACATTTTATAGGCCATAGAGTAAATAAAATGTATGCAAAACAATGAATTAGTTAATTTAATGCCAGGTAATGAAAATAAATGGACTCTTCCCTACTCAAATGGTAAAGTGAGTAGAAGTATAGATAGCCACATGGAGTTGGCACTTACTATTTGGTTGAAAGAAATCACAATGTGAAGATTTAAATTAATCCATAGTGAATTTGACCAAACACCTGGGCCCTTTAAAAGAGAAAATATAAGTACATTCTCTTAAGGCAGGGGACTTATACTACCCCACTTCAGAGGCAAAAAAGTTGAAACATTTGCCTTTCTTGAAATACTGCAAATACTCCTATTGAACTCTGTAACTCAGCTTCTCTTTGATGAAAGAACTGTTTGCATTTGGACAACTGTACCAATGCCCATAGTGCACTTCTCAGTGCTGCTGGTGTTTAAGAAATTTGCCACTCACAACACTGAACAATTCCAAATCCAGGATGCCGTAACACAGCCATCTAAACCACCCCACTCTAAAAGTTGGCAGAGCACCGCTCAGGAATTTCACAGGTAAGGGAATATATTTCTAGCAAGTCAAGCAAAGAGAAAGGAAAATATAGTTTCTGAATAAATATAAACCCAGATACTGCATCAATTACACTGCGTCAAGACTGAAACAAGTAGTAGGTTACTAAGCCTGTTGACTAAGAAGCAAAGTCACTGACACATCAATGCTGAGCCAATTTTGTGAGTTCAGATAATTACAGCCAAATTAAACAAATGTGGTACATATATGTAACAACTGGTAGCTTCAAAGAAAACATCACTAATTTAAAATTCACACAAAACTGAAACGAGCAAGAAAGGACTTCTGAAAAGGCTATGATTCTTATGCTTTACAGTTAAAAGTAACAGACACGGAAATTATAAGGGAAATTGTTGTAATAAAATTAACTAGTAATAAGAGCCAAATTATGCCTTCTAAAAGATTCTGAAAGCCGAATGTGCCATACTACTATGCCAAAAGAGTCATATCACTTGGCATTTGCATGCCCTTAACCTAATGTGATTTACTTCTGATGACACTTCTAATTTCAGAACAACACTACTCAGTTTGTATGATGTGCCATAAAAAAATTAAAATTTAATAGACATGTCCTTAATTCATTTGCTTTAAAAGTAAAAACACTTTTCCTTAAAATACTCTATTACTTCAATGTCATGTTTGATGAATGAAAACCTTAACATGCTTATTTTCCTTTGGTCTAAGAATAATTCAAGTCTAACCAAACTTATACCAAAATATATTTCTTGTTATTTCCCTATTTCTTCCTGCAGGACTTTTGATTAAACAGAAAAATTTGCATAAAGAAGGTATTTGGTTAAAACAAAAAACATGCATGCTCTTCCTTACCTCTTTCTTGAAAACCATTGTGGTTTTTGTTTTGTTTTGCTTTGCTTTCTTCTTTCTGTGGCTCTTGTTCAGAACATCCTGTAGTGATTGATATAAGGGCTTTCTTTTTACCTTTAGCTTTTAGGTGACAATTATGAAAAGATGCCCTGGGAATCCTATTCTTAAACAAATTACAACTTTGGTAAGTGAGCCAGGTTAAAGATATACTAATTTGCTTATTTTTTAATTTGAATTTGGTGATCATGATGGCATTACAAAATTACAATCACCCAAAGCAACCATAAAAGCTCCCACCTGTCTACACATTCAGAACTTTAGTTGAAGTTCCTGGTTTAGAAAAATAATTCCAACTTTTCCAGTTAATGTGCTACTTGTATTTCACAGAGTTATAAAAATGTAATGTAATTTAAAAGGAAAGGAGGTAAACAAATCTCAACACATAAAAAAGATGATATTTTTAAGAGGGAAAGGCAGGTACAAGAAAAGTGAAAACCTTGCAAATGTGAAAATTCACATTTCTGTCAAAATAGATGCATGACTCATTCTGAAACATGCCATAAAGTCTCTGTTTGCTATAAAACCATTAATGTAGCAAAAACTGATCATGTTTTTCTGTGATTGTAGCTACTGATCAGTCAGCATATTTTGCAAAGCTATTCAAATATATCAAACTTAGAATATAAAGCTTAGAATCAAATACGTATTGGGACACAGTCAATTTTTAATACTAGAAAGTTGTATCAGGAATGACAAACCATATACTGTACCACTGGTTCCTTCAAAGAACATATCTAACCTATTTCTGCTTGTGCTTTCTTCTTGCTATTTCATATGGGAAGTATGGATGGCATTAGTGATTTTTAGACATTTTTGGAAATGCAAATACAAATTTTCACCCATTTAACAATACATACTTAGGAGGAAGAATTTTTAAATGGAACACAATATATGTTTGCCCATGTTCCAATTTTAATGTACCACAACCTCCACTCTAATCTGTCTTAAGTGATATGAGTCTTAGATATCTACTTTCTCCTTTTCATCTTTGTGATTTAATATATAACTTTGAAGACATCAAAAAAAGGAGCAAATAAGAAACAGAACTTTATATTTTCTGCAAACTACAACACTAAAACACAGTGGCTTTTTAAATACATTCACCCAGGATGCTTATTAGTAAAATTAAATATCTGTCTATGAATATCAGAAAAGTAATTTGAAAAGAAAGAGCTTGGAAAAGGCAAATGGGAGGGGGGAAAGCTGGTCTCAGAACCCATTGTGCCATACCTGACTTTAACATGTGATATTCAAATGAAGGTTCACACGCCTTACATTAAAGAAATGAAATAAAAATATTCAACTATGTTATACAAAATTTTCTTTACATAAAACATCATAAATCTTGAACAGATTTACTATATCTGAATTCTAAAAAGTTGCCTATAGAATGGTGCTGGGATTCTGTTCTCTGCTTGCTTTTAGGCAGTGCTGTTGCTTAAAAGTTGACACCAGGCACAATATTTTAAAACAAAGTCAACAAGCAAGGAGCAGTAAGTAGATTTGAACCTTTTTCAGATGTCAGTCCTGAGGATGCTGCAATATTCCCCATCAAAATATGTAAAGCTATGAGGCAGATACTGATGCCTGAGAGAATGGATGACTTGACATGCACTTGTATGACTGATAATGGCAAACAGTGCAGTTTTCCCTTCCTCAAACAACACTGTTTTAATAAATTTAAAGAACACTCCAATTCTTAAATATCAGAAATCATGTTTAACAGTTTTTAAAAACATTGCAATCTAAAAATGCCCAATTTTCTCTTATGTTCACATAAAATATGCAGCAGCCCAATGTCATAAAGCTTATTAACTTATTCCGAGAACTAGAAAGTAGAAAGTAGAAAGTAGATGAACATATAAATTTTACTTTTGTTGAATATTTACTGTATGTCATTCACCTCTTCCTTTTGGCTTCTTGCTGCCAAAGTTCCAAATAGCATGCATTTTAACAAGACAATGCCGAGGACAGCAGCACTTCTGATCATCTGAACTGGCAGCTCAAAACAGATACCACTCCTTTTACAAAGGGAAAAGAGGGTGAAGGGTGCATGAAATTTGGGCAGTGTGGGCTACAGGGAAACCGTGCACATGAAATTTGGGTTACTATGCCCCAAGTGTGTGCGTCACCCAAAACACATCACAATTACTTCAACAAAACTACTACCAACATTTACTAAAACCACATTAAAAGTACACAGGATAATGACTGGTTTGAAAGAGTGCATTTGGAAGCAGAGAGAACCCAATTACACACCTTCCTGCAACAGAGTGCCTCAATCATACACAAAATAAACTTAAGCTGTTTACAATGTTTCCCAATTTTTTTTTATTTTTCCCTCTACATTTAACTATTAAAAAAGTTTTTTATTAATAAATGGGCTCCTCTGTGGTTCATATACAATCATAAGTGAACTTTAAATTCCATTTTATACAAACATCTCAAAAATATTGGGAGTGAAGTATGGTAGGAAATATTGCTCACATTGCTAATTAACATGCACATATGAAAGGAGGAAAATGTTTTGTTAGTGCATATACCTCCCAGCAGAAACCCACCCAAAATAAAAGACCCAAAATAAAACATACAGTAGCTGATTACAAAAAAGGTAATGTCCACAAAATTAAGTTTTTCATGCTATTCTACTTTCCAGTACTATGCTTCAATTTGCATGGCTAGATGTTGGATGCTTGAGGTATATAAGAAGGGGTACCTGCATATGGAGGAAAATCTTTTTTCTTAAGGGTTGTTTTTGTTTATTCTGATACTTTAAGATATTTAAAAGAATATTTTATTTACATCAAACTTCACTGAACTACAATGACATTCCAATTATAACAGATGACAAACAACGCCTCTATCACTAGGCACTTTTAAAAGGGGGTTTAGGCTTTACAGAACCCTTCTGATACAATCTCATACATGTTATTACATCACCCCACCACCCTCATCCCACTAAAATTACCCTTTAGGGAAATATTGTTGTATATAGCCTGATTGATTTATGCAAGAAATTAGTATGAAATGACCAAAGGAAATGCATCATTTAAGACTAATAAAACAACCTAACATGTCAGGTTTGAAAGAGACAAATTGTATATATTTAAAACTAATTAAATAATTTAAATTTGACTTATACTTTATATATTAGCAAGACACAAATATAGTCTATTTTCTTTTAAAATTTCATTCACATAATGGAAAATTTGTTTATTAAAAATATCACATTTTGAGACTAGAAACCGTAAAGTGCATGAAAAGTTTAAAATATAAATTTCAGAAAATTCCTATAGCAGCAAAAAAGCAGAATAAAGAAAAACTTAAAAATACAGACACAACCTTTTCCTGTTATTGTGCCATAATTAACATCAAGTAGGCAACCAATTTTTCCCCCAGAAAACAGTGTTATGTTCACTGCCTTTCGAGCCACCGATTTTCAAATGGCCCCTCCTGGGCAAAAAAAAAGAAAAGAGAAAAATTCCAACATATTTAAAGGCATCAACAGTTGGTAATAAACCAGTAGCTTCTTAATTCAACCCTGACAGAAAATAGAAACAAAGATTAAGAGCATATGATGGCCATTTGGCAGCTAGAGTCAGGAAAAATGATCCAAGGTTTTCAACTACTGTCCCCAAACGTATTCTTTCACTCCCTCAAATCTTTTCCATCGTTACCTGAAAAACCCAAAACCAACAGACACTTAATTTACTTGAGAAACACATGAAATATTTGTATGGCTTTCCCCTTCTGAAATTTTGATCGGGGCTTCTTATTCAGCAGTTTGTTAAACATTTAACTGTAATGCAAAAAATGATATAGATCATACAATATCTCTTTTTCCAGTACAACCAGACAAAAGAGTAGATAAAAATATGAAAAACATCAGACACTAATTTTGTGGGCATTTTAAATATGCCAAATTCTGTCTTCAAGACATATGGTAGTAAATTACTTGCTATTTCCCTACAAATGAACTGGAAAGACAGTCTTAGAATTAATACTTCTAAAAAGGCTATAATTAAACAGGGGAACAAAAAAGAGTGGTTCCTCAAAACAACCAATGAATCTCCAATAAATTGTCGTATGCTATTAAATGCTCGATTTTGAAGGCATATTGTGCAATCTTTTAATTTCCCAAGTTTTCTTCTAGCTAGAGGCTATATTGTAGTTTTTGTACAGATCAAAAAAAATTTAAGTGCTTTGTTAATGTGCAAATGACTAGTGGACCCAAAAGCCAGTGTACCATAAAGGAAAACAGAAATTCAAGAAATTTTTCCCTGAAAGGCATGCCATTGTTCAATTTAAAATCTTATATTTATAGTTTTTAAAATTTCCTTTCATACAATGATTGGCTCATCTGAAACCATTCACAAAAATGTGTTTTAAGAAAGCAAATACAATGTTCTTGGGCTTCAAATTGGTGATTTATCAATTATGAACACTGAAAATTATGAAGAAAGTCCATTTTAAAAACATATTAAATTAAAATTTTGGAAAGACAGTACTACTATTCTGGTTCCAGCCCTAGTGCCAAATGATATCAGTATGCATAAAAATGTACAAAGTCTTATAGCAAACACATAATGAAAGGAACCTGAAGAAGCAGCTTAAGGATGGCCATACTTCACTCCTACATACTTTGATTTACAACTGTACAGGTCCATAGCAACAGGTCCCCGTCTTTGCGGGGAAGTACTCCACTACCTCCGATTAGGCAAGTGAACACCATTGACAAGAGGCAGGATTGGAGGGTGGAGTTCAAGTTGTGTTAACAGTGAGAAGTGGTCTGAAGGGATGTGAGGGTGTGGACACCCAGTGATGTTGTTCTCAACCAGCCATTGAGGATCTAAAGGCCCCAGGACACCAAGCACGTTCATATGAGTCTTGGAATAGAAAATGTAGTCAATCACACCCTGGAAAGAGATTGGGGATTGGGAAAAAAGAGAAAAATATATGCTTAGAAAAAAAACTGTATGTAAAGAACAATCCATAATTTGTAAAAGCCAAATAACCAAGAAACCTGCATTTCTGGTGCCTGTTGTCTTGACTGTGGGTAAATAAAGCTCAAATCTGCAATGGATATCACATAAAGTGGGCACAACAGACCATACCATATCCTACGGAATCAGACAGCCTTGCATTTGTGCATAAGTGATAAATTGAGAAGCTAAACATACCCAATTACGTCTAAGCAGATTGGCCTGCTTGGCTTAGTGAAATTTATCAGTATAAAATTTTTTTTTTAGTACCAGGGATCGAACTCAGGTTCTTCCACTTGCAAGGCAGGTGGTGGGAACCACTGAGCTAAATCCCCGGCCCCTATCAGTATAAATTTTATAGAAACTGTACTGTCAATGACAAAAAGTAGAAAATAATATTTATATAACAGTTAATAAAAAGATAGGATGCAAATTCTTTTAATAATTAGAATTATACTCATTTACACATTGAGACATCCAAACATACTCAAAGCCATCATGAAGCCTGTTTCCCAGAATTGCTACATACAAACCATACACTTAACTGTTCTATTCTGTGATTTAGTTTAAAAATACTAATTTTTTACAAATCCTGATATGCTATACGTTCTTACATTTCTGTAAGTAAAAATCATTTAGCAGGGACCCATAGATATCATTGTATCTCTTAGAGTTCGATGATGTATTGGATCAGTAAGTCTCAAAACCAATGTGGACTTGACTGTCCCAGACTGTGTGTATATAAGACAGCAAAGTCAAATGTTTTCCTAGACAGTTTTTATCTAAATCAAGAGACCAGAAACCCAATTAGGGAGAAATATTTCTACTCCTGAAACTACTTATTCATAAATACTATACAAGCCAGGAGTGGTGGCACATGCCTGTATCCCAGAACTTGGGAAGCTGAGGTAGGAGGATTGCTGCAAGTGTGAGGCCAGCCTGGGCTACATAGTGAGTTCAAGGCCAGCCTGGACTAAATAGCAAGACCGCGTCTCAAAAAAAAAGACAAATACTATAGATAATGAATTTTGATCATATTCAGAAGAGAAGTTATACATCAACCCAAAACAAGCACTAATCATTTTTAGCCTTTTTGACAGTTTCTTTTTAAGAAGACTATAATATGGGAAAATATATTCTGTATGTTAGTAAAACTACCCTGTATTGGGCTGGGGATTTAGTTCAGTGGTGCTGCCATCCGCCTTGCAAGTGCAAGGTCCTGAATTTGATCCCAGGAACCCACCACCCCCCAAAAACTACCCTGTATAAGTCTGCAGAACTTATTTGAGAAAAAGTAAAAATAATAAAAATAGCTTAGGAGCTAATATTATATTAGCTTTGCTTTTTTTAAAAGAATGTGAGAAATTATAAATTTCATAAGGTAACAGGGAAAGGCTTATTACCTGACATAATAGAGAGCTGTCTTTCCCCTTTTCCTTAAATGACTCACACCTTTACACTGGATGAGGGTGTGGAGTGAGGACAGCAGCAGGTTTGAATTAGGTTTATTAAACTAACCTGGTCTGCAAGTCATGTTGAGAAAGGTAATTCTCTTAAATGCTTATCTTTCACCCCAAACCAGATCTAGGTTAAATGACTCTGGATTCTAAATGCCACTTATTCAACAACCAAGAAAGCAAACAGATGTTAAGCCAACTAAAATTAAACATCCCACTGAAACAACGGCAGAATACTGTGTTGGAATTTGTATTTAATGCTGATCACATGACATTTTATACTTGATGCTAGCTACTCTTTTGTACTGATTGCTTTCAACACTGGTATAGCACTTATTATATAAAATACTTTGTATAAACCTGAAAAGTTCATTATGTATTGCTTCTACTAAAAGCTCAATTCTCTAGTTAGATGGGCCCTTAATTCATTCTCTAGCCATTCTTTCTATCTCATTCCATCCCTTCATACCATTCACTGATCCAGGTAGCCTACATATCTTCCATATTTATCTCTTCCCTAGTCATTTCTAGCTCTGTCCTATCTTATCCCATCCTATATATCTAAACATCAGACACTCTCTGAGCCAGGCATCTGTTTTTTTTAACTGTACTACTTTGGACCATGTAAGTGACTCAGTGAGCTTTTTGATCAATTATTAACAGGTATATAATGAAGAAACATCAACAAAGAATTTTAGACCCATTCAGGTGACTGATGAAGATGGCTTAGATTAATATATGAAATTTTCTCTTAGGAAAAAAAATGACCTTTAAAAAAAGCGAGCAAGAAATAATATATGTTTTCTTTTACCTACACACATACCAATAACACAGCTGTAGAATTTCTGAACACTTATTTTTGTAAATTTTCATTACAGGTATTTCTGGGTTATGCTGGCACATGTATTATATATATATCACTAAAGTTACAAGGATAGGATTTAACTTACAGTAAACTTTACTATTCAGTGTAGAGATGTTTCTTTAAGCTTACACAAAAACAGTGGAGTGCTAGAGCTGGATAGTGCCAATTATCTTTGTACCCCTTCCCATTCACTGTATTCAAAGGCATCGTGTTGGGACCTTGGAATCTACAGCAGCAGAAGTAATTAAACCACAGAAATCAGCAAATAGTACAAATCAGGGCTTCTTTCCCTAGAAAGTGAGCTATTAAGTATTTACCAGCATATCACTTCATGAGTGATTGAAACAAAATGTACTATCACTGGATAAAATTATCTAATAGCAAAAATACTAAATTAGATCCACTTTCAGGCAACTTTCTCTCCACTTCCTGACTACAAAAGCTGATTAATGACATCAATTAATGAATCACCTTTCTACCTCCTCTTGTTTCTTGGAAAGAAGGACTCTGGAGATGTGAAAGAGCCCATTTCACAAATTCCTGGGTATTGTATTAAATCCTCTCTTGGATTCTTTTATCAAACAACTTTCTAACAAATCCATGTTTTGGGGATAGTATAGGACATTAGTATAGATTCCTGAAATCCCAGAATGTCAAACAGAGGTAAAGCAAAATAGGAGCGCTCCAGATAGACAAACTGATCAGAAAATAGGCAATGGTAAAGTGATCACAAAAAACAACATAACTTTTTTAAAAAATAGCTGGTTCTGTACAATGGGCCCTTCAATTTCTTTTTTTTTTTTTTATTTTTGCAAAAAAGTGTCTTTTCCTTCTTTAAAGCTGCAGTGTTTCACTGCAAGGGAATATATTAGTAAGATTACATGGATATAAGATTGACATTAAATATAACCTTCTATAATTAACTATATGCCTAAAAGAAACTTGGAAAAATTTAAAGATAAATAAGATCAGTTGAAAATACTAAGAAAATTTTGACAAAATACTATATAAATTCTTTCAAGGTAAACATAGCTACATTATGTGCTTATTATTTGGATTCTTGTTGAAAATTAGGGATGGTATGGACAGGTGAATATACCACTATATACTCTCAAGTGCTTTAAACAGTGCCTTGCACATAGTAAACATTTTAGGAATATTTGCAAGTATTATTTGAACTTCAACAAATGAAGGGTCAAAATGAATTCTCAAGACAACAATAACCATAACCTAACAAATTTATGTGTGGGTGTATATGCAGACTAGACATTTGAAAACTTGAAAATTCTTGAAGATTATATAATTAATTATAAGTAAACAGTTTAAAGAGGTTTTGTTGTCACATGCTTGCATATGTAATAATTTCTATACCAGCCCAGAGGTTGCTACTCACTTTGAAATCAAAGGTGTAATTGGTGTAAGGCATCAAGTTATTTTCATAGGCGCTCTTAAGTTGGAAGCCATGTGTGATTCTCCCTTCTGAGCTTCCATTCTTTCCATTGCAGCTGAAGTTCATAAGACACTCATTGTACCTTAGTTCCTTGAAGTCTTTATGGTTGTCAGCTACTCCTCCATTGCTTAAATATTCCACAACACCTAGTAGAATAAAGTAAGGATCATTTAGCATTTTGTTCTTATACAAGGCTATAAGCTAAGACCTACTGCCATGTAGAAGCACCAGGTTCAGAGTGGTTTATTAGGTTAAACCGTATGAAACTGTCTTCTTTTGTTTTTGTTTTAAAATACCAAGTATCAGCTGGGAATGGTGGCATACACCTATTATCCTAGCACACTGGGAGGCTGAGGCAAGAGAACAAGTTCGAGCCCAGCTTGGGTAATTTAGCAACTTAGCAAGACCCTATCTCAAAATAAAAAGGCTGAAGATATAGTTCAGTGCAAAGGCTCTGTTAATTTCCACTAACACAAAAACAAAAAAATCAAATATCAAATTGAAAGGTATCTGCCTATCTCTACACAAAGTATTCAAGATTCACCCAGGAATATGTCCTTCATATTAGTGGTTCTTCAGGCTTTTTAGATGATTTCCAGGAGCTAAGTGGCATTCGACAGAAAGGTCGTGACCTTAAGTATTTTGGGAATATTATTCTAAACCACTATCTCTGTAGTATTTTCTCATTCTACACACTTAATCAACAAGTTTGGGAATATAAAAGAGGTGTGATTAAAAACCATAGTGAATGTTTAAATTTTGAAAAATTTTATTACAGTAAAAGACACATTGCCATTAATCCTACTCAAAATACTTCCCCTTGCTTTGAACACCTTTGTCTCAGCATTCTTGCCACATTCTGAAGCAATACTGGAAGACCTCTTTCCTGAGTTGTCAAAAATATAAAAAAGCAGGTGCATAATAACATTATGGTGTTGTCCTCATCTACCTGGTTCACCAGATCTGGCACTATACAACTTCTGGCTCTTTCCCAAAGTCAAAATAACCACGAAAGGCAAGTGTTTTAAATTGATTTGTAACAAGGCAGTCACAGAACAACTAAAGACCCTCATTTATATGGTGTTACAAGTAACTTATTAATAAGATTAAAAAGTCTTCCACAGTTATTCTTACTTGGTTAATAACTTTAATGAGAACTTTAAATAGGATGATTCCCCCTCCCTTGTTTCAAACACATTCTTGGATAAAAAAGATAAAGTGAATAAAAGCTAGTCTTCCATTGTGCTGTCATGACTGCCTCAATGCCCTGAATAGATTCAAAACATTTACCTCTCATAGTCATTTAACTTTGGAAAAAGAGCCAGAAGTCACATGGGGTGCCAGAATTTGGTAGGTGGACATACCATGTTTTTATGAGCCTGCCTTTCCAGTGGATGGCACTTGGCAGCAGCATTCTGTGTGTTTTTTTAAGCACACCTTGTAAAGGCACTCACAAGAGGACTCCCAGGACAGATTCAGAAAGTGGCGAGAATGATGGGATCACTGTGATCGATAACAGGGGAGTATAGTAAGAAGAATGAGTGACAATGTGTCTTCTGATCATATCTCATAAATACACATATCCAAAAAATTTTACAACAAAAAACGATGTTGCATCAACATTTCAATGTCCACAGTCAGCTAGACAATATCATTATTTTGAAATAACATGAATTTTCTCAGTCTGACAATATAAAGAACTTTATATGCCAGAGATATACCACTTAGCCAAAAATATTAGACGCGTCATATCTAAAAAGTTGAAGCATCAACAAAACTCAAAGAAGTTTCCAGTGAATTAGCAAACATGAAAAAATTATCACAAAAATTATCACATCATCTCTTACGATGAGAATTAGTGAAAACTAATATTATAGTCATCTCTATTTGTGACCAATGACAGCAAGATATAGTGACTAATGGACAACAACACTATTGTGAATAGCTCAAAAGGAACTATCATTTTCCTAGCAAATGTCAAATACTGTACATACTGTTAAGTGCTTTACATGCTTGAATTCCACAAATAACTCACTGATGTGGATAAAATGATTATCTTATTAAAAATGAAGAACTTATGGGTAAAGGTATGGCTCAGAGGTATAGCACTTGCCAACCATGGATCAGGCCTGGGTTCAATCCCCAGCACCACACACACACACACGTACAAGAGGAACCTGGTCACAGATGGCACAGATGGTCAGCAGCAGAACCAGGATCCAACCCTGAAGGACTGGCTCCACAGTCAGATCATTACTTTTTGTAATCAATGATAACTTATACTTTAAAGCAATTTAATTTAAAAATAGAATTAAGAAAGGAGGATATGGTTAAGGTGCCAACTGGCCTAGAGGTCAGAAAAAGAAATATTTGTAAACAAAGATTTCAGCATTGATTCATTTGCTAAAGAGAAGATGCTGTTTAGCTTAGTAACTTTAAAAAATATTCCAAGTTTAAAATAATAATAAAATAAAAAAATAAAAAATATTCCAAGTATAGATTTTGAAGTTTTTTACATTTACTGTTGAATAATAATATACAAAATTTAGAATTTTAGTAATAGCAAATGAGTAATTTTTTTTTTTTCTGGTACCGGGGATTGAACTCGGGTCCTTGCGTAATATTTTAATGTTTTACAACTAAGAAATTTAGTATCTGAAATGAAGAAATTAAACAGTTTTAGACATAAAGTAGTTCCGCAGTGGTCAAGAAGTAATATAAAATCCTAGAACTCTTGATCATTCTTTTATATCTAATATTAGTATTGAAATATAATTTAATGAATTTACTGAAAACTTGCCAAAGTTAACTAAATACCTCTGCTATTTTCTGATTGTCACTTCAGATTATTCTTCTCCACTGTACTCTGTGCCTCAGGAAGCTGATCTTTATTGCAAAAATGGTAAACCCCATCCCCACAGCTTCTAGTTGAATTTGAATGATAAGCAGCACTGGCAGATCAGTGAACAGGAACATTTAGGTAGGGGTCTGTTTCCCCCTGGACTCCTTTCCTGTTGCTCTGGTGAGCACTGACTACATCCCATTACATAGCCTCTTCTACAACTATAACTAGTTTTGCCAAGTTCTGATGACAGCTCCCACCACTTTCCCCTTTAGAAGCAGGAGTGGCAAAGAGACCAGAATTCCCCTAGTGGCAGAGTATTGAAGTATTCAACGTTTTTTTTTCCATTAACCCTGATCACACCTTTGGAAAGAGTTTACTAAACTTTCCTCAATTACCCATTGTCCCATCCCTGGAATTCTCACTGATATACTCCCTAATTTAGAAGAGAAATCTCTAATCAAAAGTTAGGGAAGAGGGCTAGAAATGTAGCTCAGGGGTAGTGTGCTTGCCTAGCATGCATGAGGCTATGGATTCAATCCCCAGTACAACACATTATCCCCACACACACACACACACATAAAATTAGAGAACAGCAGGCTTTTCAAGTAAGGCTAAAAGCAAAATTGAAAGCAAGGAGGAAATTATGTTATAAATACCTGAATCTGGCAATGAGTTAAGATCTGCACATAGCACCAGCGGGATGGAATTAGGATCTGCAGTTGGGCTGCCAGGTCTACTCGAGGCTTTTTCCAGAATGTTTTTAACCTCTGAGACAAACATCATGGTCTGGATAAGTTTCACATCAGAATACTCTGGGTCCCAATGCATGTGGGCATTTGCCACTATAAGCAGCTGTTTTTCTGCAGCATGAATAGGCTTCATACCTACATTGAAACATAAAAAATAAAGTTATGTGGGCCGGGGATTTACCTCAGTGGTTTTGCCGCCTGCTCCATAAGCATGAGGACCTGAGTTCAATCCCCAGTACCAAAAAAAAACACAAAAAAACGTGTTTCTATTGAAATAGAAACACTAGAGAAAAAGACCTAATTTTCTAAGCTTACTGTTTTGGTAAAGTTTCCTTCTAACATTACTGACATAATTATCTTCAATTTTGACAAAACAACTAATTGAAGTAATCTATTATATGTGACAGGAATCATTTTTAAAACAATCTGATCATAAGATAAATACTTGCAGCCAAAATCTTGTAAGCTGTTTTCCTAGAGGTTTTAAAGTGTCACTTACGGCTGTAGATTATTTGCTAAATGAAGTGTTAAAAATTTGTCCCATCAAAGGAGCCATAATCACTTTCTATACTACCAAATTCCCCTCCCAGGAGTACAAGAGATACATAGTTCACAAAGAAGTATCTACTATATAATTTAGAATTACTCTTCTGCAAATCAAAGGAGAGTAACATTCCAAAATAAACTCAGTTTTTGTAATACCAGAACAAAAAGTGCTAAAAGAAGAATGGGATTGTAAAGGACATAAGAACAGAATAAAAATGGAAAGGCTAAAAAAAGAAGACAATTCAAAATCTCATACCAAAGACTGATTGTCTCTGTTAATAGATAAGAGGAAGAATGCCAGGAAAGAGGTTTGACATATATGCATGGCCTGAACAATTCAAACCAATACTCCACACAAAAAGTGCAAGGATGAAAAAAGCCTTGATGTGGCCTCACCTCCATGCTCTGGCTAAAATTATACTAGTAAATAATGAAATGCTCAAAGGCAGGCAATAGAAAAGGTTAAAAAAAAGGGGGGGGGGTCTGGATAATGCAAAGTGCGTAATGAGTTTCTGATTCTGAAGGAAGCTATAAATAATGTACAAAGTTGAAGAAATATGCTATGTAGATAAAAGATCCTTTTACCATGACAATGACTGAGTTATAACAAAGAAATTAAAAGGAAACATGTCAAGTATTTAGCTTTAAAGACAAAGGTTCACACTCAAGCTAAAAATATAGTTCAAAAGAGGAGCAGTCATTGTAATTTCTAAATTCAGCTTAACCAAAATATTCCCTTTCAAAGAAACTTTTATATTAATGGCATATTAAAAAGATTTTACATCAGCTAGCTGATAAGTAAAAAGGACTGGCAGAAATGCATCTCAAATTGCAAAAAACATGCTTTTTGCAATTAGTGCTTTGAGGGGGGCATCTCATTTAACTTTCCTCAAAAGAAAGTAACTTTGCAATAAATAAGATTCTCTTCACTTGTTTTGACATAAGAAAACCTGGGATGGTACTTATTTTTGGTAAGAATATTTTAAATTGCACTCACCTGCTCCAAATAGTTCTTTGTGGACCTCTAATACCACAGCAACACCAATGTTATCTTTTGTCATCACTCTGTTGAGCATAGCTTCAGATCCATCTGAATTAGCCATTGCCACCTGGTTAAATTCTACTGTATGCTTCTGCACCAATGTAAATCTGAAAGATACAATGTATTATTTATGATAATGTAGGCACTTGGACTATCATGCTAAAAGTAAGTGAAGAGGGCACAATATACAAACACCATTCATCATCTCCTTGGTCATTTTCTAGCTAGAAGTAGCCATGTGAGAGTTCTGGTCAATGAAACATAAGTCTGGTTTCTATAAAAAAAAAACATTCCCAAAGGCCTAGCAAAGATGGCATATGATACTCCCCCTACCTTTTTACATCTTTGCCCCTTCCAGCTTGTGCCTAGAGGAACAATAACCATCTATGACCACGAAGCAGCTGAAACAGTTCTGGACTGCCCATTTCTACACTTTCTCCCATCTGCATAAACTAATGTTCAGATTTTCTAGTATTTCTTTCCTTTGTAACAAATTAAAGTTGGAGGACTTAGTAGAATTAGTCTAGTGCCAACATTTTATAGCAGTGTGAACATGAACAAGCCATTTAACCTCTTTTACCTGGATTTTATTAATTTTGTGAAATAATTATAAAGAGCCAAACCCTGCTAAATAAACTACCTTCCACTGGGTGTTAAATCTTTGCTCTCATTCACAGTGCCCCTACCTTCTTCCTAGCTTTGAAAACAGAACTATACATCCCTTCAAAAATACTGTTTAAAAGCTTAACTATGCTGCAGAATGTTGTGCTAGATGAAACAACACTCCTCTTCCTGCTCCAATTCTGAACATCTATCTCCAATGTGTTTAGAAGCGTAAAGGTCCCAGTTATACCTATTTCTAATCCAGAGTACTTATAGCGAATGTAGTTTCTACTCCCTACTTGAAAGAAGTAGAGAAAGAACAAAGAACTACCAGGTAAAGAATAGGATTAAGAGTCTTCTATATAAAAGAAATGAAAAATTGTGAGACAGCAAACAAGTTTGTACATGTATGGTTTAGAGAAGAAAGGAAGGGGTAAAAAATGCTGGAGATGCCTGCTCCACAAGAGCAAGGACCCGAGTTCGATCCCCGGTACCAAAAAAAAAAAAAAATGCTGGAGGTGAGAAGAATAAAAGTTCTAAGCAAGGACATGATATTATTTGACTTAGATTTTTAAAGATCACACTAGCTACTCTGTGGAGAATAGATTACAAGGGCCAAAATAAGAATTAAAGAGATCAAGCAGAAAGTTTTTGAGGATGTTTGGATGAGATGATTAAATAAAAAGTGAGCAGATTTAAAATACATAACAGACAGGACTGACTACCCTCCATATCAGACATCTTCACATATGTTTAAGCAATGAAATTCTTTCAATTTCCAGTGAGATTCTCATATATAAAATGACCAAAACACTGTTAGAATAAATTAATCAAAGAAAATAACCTCTTTTGATGAACATAAAAACCTGAAGGTTTAGACAATACAGTCTTGTATCAGTTTCCGATGGTATAGATGATAATTATAGTCATGTATCAGTCTCAGTATCCAAATTATTTCTATATTTTATTTTGGTTAGAAAGTACTAAAACTCCAGATTCACAAAGACACACACACATAAATAGTAAATAATTGGTCTTGCACAAAGAAAACCTAAACAAGCAGGCAGAAATATGTTTCAGAGAACTGCACCAAAACAAGTCAACTAAACAGCACATTAGGAACAAGTCACTCATTTCCAAAATGATAAAATGTGGTACTTTATTTGAAATACATGAGTGAACATTTTAAAATTACACTTCAATTATTTGAATCTGACTTTCATGATGTCTTCTAAATATTCATAGATCTTCTAAAGCTTATTTATAAGAAACTAGATTTCTGCAAGAGCATCTAAAAATCCTGCTCAATAGTAATATTTTTTAGCACTGGAACAATTTTACTTCTATCCAAGTTAGGTCACACTTTTTCTGGAGTAAGCAACAGAATAGAACTCAATATTACAAAGGTCATCCCTAATTAAAAATTACTTCCCTATATCTTTCTTCTACTTCCTCCATTAAACATATTTAGATATTTCTTTAAAAGAATATAGAATAAATCTAATTTCTCTTCCATGTGACACCCCTTTAAATATATGTCAATAATGTCAATGCACTCCTACTAGAAAGCCTTCTCCAGAAAAAGACCGATTTGTTACATGGTATTTGGGTTAAGACAGCTGTTTACTTGAACAGAAATTTACTTAAAGGTACAGCCTATAGTTTGGATATGGTTTGATCCTCAAGAGTTGATGTGTAAGAGGCTTGGTCACCAGTACAGTGATGTGAGAGCTGCTAGAACCTTTAAGAGGTGGAGCCTAGGGGGAAGTCACTGGAGAGATAACTCTCGAAGAGAACTGAACATTTTTGCATGTATTTATTGGTCATTTGTACTTCTTCATTTGGGAACCCTGGTACGTTCTCGTAAAAAGGGTTGTCATAAAAAAGCAAGGCAGGCCCCTCTCCAGTCTCTCCTGGTTTCCTGTCTCACTACATAATTTCTTTCTCCTATAGGCACTTCTGACATGATGCTATCCACCCTGACGGCTTCACGAGAGTCATGATGATGCCAGGGCTATGTTTGTAACACTGTAAGCTATGTAAACATCTTTTCTTTATAAAATATCCAGCCTGAGGTTTTTTGTTACAGTAATGAAAAACAGACTAATGCAGTGCACTACCTAGAACTAGGCATAAATGAACTACCAATGTATCATTTTTTTACTGTATTTTTGTTAAAAACTTAATTATAAGCCAAACAGAAACCTAAAAATATGCACCTAAAAATTTTTACTCTTTTTACTCTTAAACCAGTTCCCCTTAGTCTTGCATTTATAAACATTTTTTAAAGTGAGAAAAAAGCTATTAAATATTTGTTGTAGAGATCTGGGAACAAGGGAAAATATTTAAAAATTAAAGTCACTTAAAACTTAACTCTATTAACAAGTCAATATAGTTCCTTGGCTTTTTTTTAGAAGGGGCAGCATTGGATTTATTTATTTTTATCTTTATCAAGTTAATAATCATAAACACAGATTAATGGCCAGACTAAGAGACCAAAAAAATATATAAAACAATTGTAGTAAATGAAGGTTCACTTTTAGATATATTAGCCATGCTGGGTTTCAGTAGCTTTTTTCCCCATATTTTCTTGTCTTTTATTTTGCACTTTATTTATATATTGGGTTTTTCATATGACAGAAACCATGTGAAATTTAAGCTTTTGTGTCTGATTCATTTTATTTAACATTATCTTAAGTTATACCCATTTTCCTACAAATGACTCAAATTTATCCATCTTATGGCGGAGTAGCACTCCACTGTGTATAAATACCACTTTTATCAATTCATCTGTTGAGGGACATATATGCGGTGACCAAGATTTAACTAGTATGAATTGTGCTGCAGTAAACATGGGCATGGATGTATCACTGTAGTATGGTGTCTTTAACTCTTTCAGGAAGATACCTAGAAAGGAAATAGCCCAGTCAAATGGAATTTCCAGTTTTAGTTTTATGAGGAATTGTCACACTGATTTTCATAGTGATTATACCAGTTTACCCTCCTACCAACAAAGAAGAAGTGTACCTTTTTCTTCCCTGCAGCCTCAGCAGCATTTATTGATTGCTTGAAGACAGCCATTCTTCCTGGAGGTGGAATCTCAGTGTTGTTTAAATTTGTATTTCTCAAATGACCAGCACTGTTGAACATTTTTGCATGTATTTATTGGTCATTTGTACTTCATTTGGGAAGTATCTATTTCAGATGCCCATTTTTTGAGTGGGTCTTTAAATCTGGGGAGGGGTCTAATTATTTTGGGTTCTTTACATATTCTATTTGAGAAGTAGCTAGCAAAAATTTTTTCCCATTCAGTAGGTTTTCTCTCTTCATTCTGTTAGTAGTATCCTTCACTGTGCAGAAGCTTTCTGATATGATCTCATTTGTGGATTCTTGGTATTATTTCTTGTGCAAACAGTTTTGTTCAGAAAGCCTTTGCCTATACCTTTGTCTTCAAGAGTTTTATTTTTATCTTCCAGCACATTGTTTCTGTTTTAATATTTAGATCTTTGATTCGTTTTTATTTTAGTGCAGAGAGATATGGGTCCAGATTTAATCTTTGGTATATGGACATGGACACATTTTCCCAGCACCATTTGTTAAAGAGGTTATCCTTCCTCCAGCAAAAGTATTTGATCCCTCTGTCAAAGATAAAGTATGCCTAGAGTTGCTTCTGCATCCTCTCTTCTGTCCGACTAATCCACAAGTCTGTTTTGGTTTTTGTAGGATTTTGTTTTTTGTTTTTGCTAATACCATGCTGTTTTTATCACTGTGGCTTTGTAGTATAACTTAAGCCCAGGGCTGTGATGCTCCCTGTCTTGTTCTTGTTGCCCAGGATTGCTTTAGCTATTCTAAGTCTCTTCTGGTTCCATATGAATTTTAGAATAGTTTTCTCTAGTTCTGTGAAGCATGCTATTAGTATTTTGAGACTGTGCTAAAACTGTGTAATAGTTGTGGAAGTATGACCATTTTCACTATATTGGTTCTGTCTATCCAGGAACAAGGATATCTTTCCACTGTCCAATAGTCTCTTGCATTCCTTTTTTTCAGAGTACTGTGGTTTTCATTGCAGAGGTCTTTCACTTTGTTGGTTAGGTTAATTCCTAAGTATTTCATTTTTATTGATGCTATTGTGAAGGTTATTGTTTCCTTAGTTTCTCTCTCACTGAGTTTATTGGTGTACAGAAATGCTACTGATTTTTGAGTGCTGACTTTGTATCTTGCTATACTACTGAATTTGGTTATTAATTCTAGAAGTCTTTTGGTGGAGTTTTTGGGATCTTGTATGTAGAGGATATCACTGTAAATGATATTTTAACTTCTTCCTTTCCTATCTATATCCCTTTTATTTCTTTCTCTTACCTAATTACTCTGGCTGTTTTTGAGAACTATATTGAGCAGGAGGGATGATAGTGGACATCTCTGATTTGTTCCTGAAGGGAAAGCCTTCAGCTTGTCTCCTTTAATATACTGGCCATTGACTGTCATAAGTGGATGTTATCAGATT